TTTTAAAAAAATTCCTGTGACGGTTTGAGTCCCATCACAGACAATCTCAAGGAGACTTTTGCAGCTCACAGCAGCAGCAGGAACAGTTTGTGTGCGTTGGTGATCATGTCGTGGTGAACTTAATTGTTCTCTACAGTCCACTGGCCTGCGCTGCACTGATGCTGAGGTACTGTACAGTACGTGCATGTGCTGCCTTCCAGCTCTATTCTGATCTCCATCATTTACGTGTCACCTTTTTAGCAGCAGTGTCTTAGATCATTCTGGTGTGCCACCTCTCATATTCACACTCACAGTTTCAGCTTGAGTGTCTGTCTTCTTTTCACTGCTCATTTAGAGATTTTTTACATCTGTGTCTCATCCTGCAGCAACGACCAAGGACCAGATGAGCTCAGCACGCCAACAACTATAAGGCTCCAGGAAACACACTGCCACACACACACACGCACTGGTAGGCATGCAAATCAGGTGTAGCTCACGTGAATGCTGTAAAATGCATCATGAACTCTGGTATAATGATGTGACGTGATAGAAATTTAAAAGACACAGGGAGTTAATTACAATTAATATTCAAGTCTTATTAGCAAAACTGTTAAGTACTGGTTAGCAAAAATATAAGCCTTGCGATTATGTCAAGTATTTTAATGTGGAATGCCTGTATTTTATTATATCTATAATATTCTATTTAATATTTGGGCTGCTCCAACAAAAAATAAACAGTATAAACAGTATTTATTAATTGATGGCCCCTAAAAAATCTTAAATGAGAGCCTTTAAAGTAAATGTACGTAAGTGTCCTTTTTAAACAGAGACTCTATGACCATTCTTATTCACTGATGAGTTTTATTTAGAAAATAAAAATGCGGACTTCTTCATTTTTAATGAACCAAGACGTTGATGAGAGCTAATTAAGGTATTTGTATACAGTCTGTCTTTTTTCTCTTCAAAGACTCAAACTTTCATACTCACCCACTCTCTCTCTCTCTCTCTCTTTGTGAATTCTGGCAGAGACTCTCTGGGAAGTGTGAGTAGGCGCGTGTCACATCCCTCTGCTGTGCTTCTCTTTGTCCTCCACTCACTTGGTCCTGAACCGTTGTTTTATGATGTGCTGTTTGTTGACAGTGAGTGGGTAAAGCAGGCCTAAGTTTCTGAAGACCATTAACTTGTTGTCTGTGTGAGTGGGAGAAGTTTCTGGAATGCAGAGCTCGTAGGTGGAATGTGGTGGTTGATGCTCAGAGCTGTTGTGCTGTTCTGTGATCTTCAGGTAGAACATTGGTATAAACGTGATCTTTCCTTATTTCTTTTTTTCTTATGACAGTATAAGGAAACACGACATATACCTGTTTCTGCGCCTCTAAAATTATTTTGTTGTTCCCAGCCTTCAGTTTAATGTTAGTAGAACACAGACATTGGATAGAAAAATGCAGTCGTTTTATAAATGTCTCCCCACCTTTTTCTTTCTTTCTTACAACCCAACCCCCATTTCATTCTCAACTCTCTTACTGCACATTTCCGCTGTATTTCTTGCCAATGTGTTGCCTGATGCTGATTTATATGGACTGGCAAACAGAAGTAGGCCATTCTGGACCATGAAGACTGACAGCTCCTTGTTGTCTTCATTCCAGATGGCCACAGTAATCCGACGTTTAGAAGAAGATTCCCTATGAGTGCAGCTTTCGTCTTGGTTGGGAGTCTTGGCTACAGATAAACAATTTTTTTGTCTCATATTTCATCTGTTGGGTGCACTGCACATGCACATGTACTACAAGCAACTTCCTCAGTAGACCACATCCCCCCACCACACACACACATACATACAGTATATATACATACACACAATGTACACGTACAGTTTATATAAATATATATGTATAAACTGTATGATACATTGTATGTGTGCATAATAATAATGTACAATTATGACAGCTCATATTAAATAAATATGCTTTGTAATTCAACATTTTAATTGAAATTTTCAAATCAATAATTCTATTTGTTGTTCAATGTGTTTTCTCTACATTCCTGACTGTGTGCTTCTGGACTTGAAGGACAGGACAATAATGTTGTTATCAGTGACTGATTCAGTATAAAATGACACCAGAAATCCTGCTGCTGTTGCCTTGTGTGGCTTTTTTCTACTGCCTGAGAAAAAAAGGATTACTGCATCGAATGTGAAATTCTGTGTGTGCTTCAATAAATGCACAAAACCGTACCAGAGCCCACTGTGAATTTGAGAGCATTCTGAATCGTGGAGTGTGACAGGTTTTTTTTTTTTTTTCACACCTCAAACCACTACTGCACAGAGTGAAGGCAGCACTTTTAAGCTGACAAATGAGTACTCTAGTTGATGTACTGCTTTTCAACCTGCACACCAGGCAGGTACACTGCCTTCATGTTTTATGTATAAAGTATTTATCAGCCTTCGCCCTCTCAATATTTCTGCAGAGACCCTTGAAACGTTCAGGCAGAAAAGCTTCTTGAACCCACGGGGACTTCATTTCTCCGCTGCCCGCAGGTTTGAAGCCCAGTGGGAGGCTGGGTGATTATTACCCTGCTACTATATGGTATTATAATAAAGCTGCTGCAGTAAGGCACTAAGCCATGTGACATGGTATCCTCCAGCCTCATGTCAAAGCTTTTACCATAAGCCTCCCAAGGAAATAGTTGAGTGGGAATGACATTCAGTAAGGTCACCGTTCCACAGGCCATGGCAGTGTCGCAGTTTGGGCTGTAATCCAATAACAAGTGATGCCATTAATGCTGACAACAACTTTACATTGTATTTTTTTTCCTTTTTTAAACTTTGGAACTGTGGTGTTCTGGTGCACATACAGTGTGTACAGGAATACTGCGTCTTAGGGTCAGCCAAGCAGACTCTGCAGAAAGGACTAAACACGGCACAGCATCCGTTCTCACCTTGATATCACACTTCATGGATATCACAGTCCTGCACTGCCTCTGGCTCCGTTTGATGCTCTGTTAAGAAGCAGCACTGAAATGTTAAAGAGGAGTGAGGATCCCCGGAGGAAGGAATGTGTTGTCGTCTTCATAAACATACCAACCGTAAAGAGTAGAACTTCACGACTTGTACTTTCTTCCGCAAGGAGCGAGAATAACGATCGACCTAATACTCTCAGGGAATCTGTATATCTTTTAACTGCGTAATGTGATGATTCTTATTGCAGTCATAGATATTGTACTTTTTTTTTAAAGTCCTGTTCAACCATGTACCTATGAATTAAAATTAACTATAAATATATACTCACAGGTACAGTAGCATACTTTGATAGCATTGATTATCTACATTTCTATGCAAGTATTATGTATTCCGTTAATATTATGCTTCTGGCATGAGAACAGTGTGGCGCTGTTTCATCTGTCATCAGATGTCTCCCAGTGGAATTTAAAGATTTAAATACGCTTTTTTTTTTTTTTTTTTAAATGAAATATTATGTCACTGTAATGCTCTTTTATGTTTTTAATTAATTGGCACACATATTTTCCATCCTAGGCCTGTTCAGTGTCAGGGGCCAGTTGTGGCTGTTAAAAACACTTTATGAGGCTTTCGTCGTATCGTGGCCATAAATCCAGACAAATTAATAAATCACACCTGAAGGTGTTAGCTCGCCTCGTGTGTCATGCAGCACCAACACTGCAAGTCTCGTGTGTGTGAAAATCTGTTGTGTATTTAATGTTACAGCAATAAAGTTAATTTAAGTCAGGGGTGGGCAATTAATTTTGGAGTGGTGTTAGACGGCCAGAATAATATATAATGTATATTTATACCTCTGTGATGTCCTTGACCTGTCTTGTCACGGTTCGCCTGGAGAGGGACACATTTGCAAACGCTTTTTTTTTCATGGCCCATTAGTGCTGCAGAGTCCTGCACAAATTCTCGGACAAATGTCCCATCAGAGAATGGTGTATTTTAGTACAGTTGTGTGGGATATTACACATCTGGTCCAACACGGGGTGCATAATCTCACCGACCACATCGATATAGGAACAAGGGCAAAACAGTTGCCTTCAAAATAAAAGCCCTGCAGTTGCATTTTGTACAATGAGTAACAGGTGTCGCTGTAACACATCATTATGACTACATTTACCAACGACCTCATCTGGGCCTGGTCAGAGATGGTCAGAGGCCCTGATCTGGTCCACGGGTCATACATTGCCCAGGTATGATGTATTCGTTCTCTGTGGAATTTGACCGTTAATGCACAGAATATTAATGCACTGTGTGGTATGCATCTTGGTGTACTATGTCACTGTAGGCAACAATGATTTGGTCTTCAGTCTGTGTGTCAATCACTATAGAAGAGCAAGCTACTGTATGTAGTAGTACATGTGTTCATCATTGAGTATCATGAGCTGTACACAGTAAAAACCCATCTATTTCAGCCAGGTACCTTTGTTTTTGTTTAAATAACTGTACTTTTAAATAACACTTTGCCATATTAAAAAAACGCCAGGCTGTTTTATTTACAGTATGTTCTGTCCACATTAATCGCATATTTGTTCTCAGTCTCTGTCGTGTTTTTGTTTACTGTATACAGTACCTTTTACAGTGTCATTTCAAGTATTTGTTCACTAATTGGATGCGGATCACAACTTTACATTCTCTCCCACAGGACGTAGATGTAACACCAACTAGCCCGAGAGAGAGAGAGAGAGAGAGAGAGAGAGAGAGAGAGAGACCCAATCAACAGCAGCCCGGTGCTGTTGGGAAAACACACGCCACAACCCAAACCAACACAACATTTAACACACGTATGTGTGTCCTTACACTTCCATACACACAGTCCAGTGGGTAGAGCGCCACCATCAGTCCAGGCTGCCGGTGGAGACAGACAGACAGAGCTGGGAGCTGCCGGCAGAAAGAGGAGCTAACGCTGCCTGTGCACACATGAGGAGTAAACGAGAGGAGAGGGAGAGGAGACTGAAGGCACAGAGAGAATCC